ATTCTTATACTATTCCAGCCCCATGAATGGTAGGACAGTCTTGGAGTTGGAGGGTGGAATTTCCATGAAGCTTGATGGGCGCACTGGCAGCCACTCTTGCACCGGTCAATCTTGCACCGGTCGTGCCCAAAATGGCTCTGGTCTATCAGGACTTGTCCGCAGTAGGTAGAGAAACGAACCCAACTTACAAACAAATCTTTGTCCACTCCAGGACCATCCTGTCTGGGTGTCCTGGCTGGACTACCCTACTACACCCCTTATAGGGACCTCCAGTGGGCACACGTTGGATGGTCCAGGTTGATTGCGGGTTGATGCGGGCACTTCGCGCTTTACACCACGGAGGTTCTGGACGTTGTCAGGAGACAAGGTGGCGCAACCCGAGAGCTTTCAGCGGTATTTTCCCAACCCTAAGGACCCACTGCCACCGAACCAGGTCGGTACGGTGAGGCCGGAGACTATTGATGTAGGCGCCAGGATCCAAGGACGCCTTCTGAGAAGGTGGCAGTGGATCCATAGGGCAATCTACTGTTTCGACTCGCCACACATGGAAGTGGAAAACCCACCGCTGGACCAATGATGTATTCTCACGCAGCCATCTAGTTTAAGGAGAACTAGAGGTTGGCCTGCAGAGGCTGTGTGACCCTGGACCAATAAAGAAAATCGTCTTCCTCAAGACTTCCATGTCATCCACCAGGACCTGAGCCGTCCGTGACCTCTTGGGAGTCTCTAGTCTAAGCAACGTGAGTCCAGGACGTTTCGTGACCTCAGTCTAGGATCTCATCTCAAGGGTGGATCACTTTGAAGGTCCTGGCACTTCGAAAATACATACAGTGGTTTCAGAGTAGATGGCAGTGGCACCCCTACATGTCCTTTAGATGATATAGACCACCGAACTTGGGGATTGTGCCATCTACTCTGAACCCACTGTAATTATAGATCCTCCAGGTGGATTCACCTTCATGACACACACAACCCCCCCTCCGGAATCGGGGGTTTCAAACAAACATGACATGTTCGAACATGATCATTCAAAAGCACGGGGGGGTGTCTTGATCGGTTTTGAGGTGGGCCGTAGCTCGTTTTGCAGGGCTAAACGTGCACAAACCTACCCGCATGTGTGGACGGTTGCTCATGTGGTGTCATATGGTGTCAATCATCCCAAGTTACATGGTTGAACATAAAAATCACTGACACCATCCAGTTCAGCATCAAAACCCATCCGAGTTCCAACCAGACCGAGCCTTAGGATTCGCAAAGCAAACCAACACGTATGGCTCGATGCAAAACATACGTATACTAACGCTCCATGTCAGCAAGTACACCCTGCAAGAGACCCACATGGAACCTGAGTTCACCACGCCCAGGTCGGGATTCCGAAAAAACGAAAGAACACGTCAAACCAGTTTGGTCCATGCCATGATGGGTTCCATGTTACTCTTCAAACCTGTGGTCAAAGGTAGGCCATTTGGATCATCCAACAGGGCAACCATTGGAGAAACGACACCCTCAATCAAACGACCCCCGTTCCGGGCGAGGTCCGGTCCGTGGTGAACCCGCTCCGCGCGGACGGCGCGGCTCCACCTGTCCATGGAAGGCCGCGAGATGCAGCCTCGGACGACCCGGGAGGAACGGCGTGAGAAAGGACGTGGGGCGGACGTGAAGACCGAATGGGACGTGAAGACATCGTGTGTGTGTGTGTGTGAGTTCCGCGGAACCGCCAGAAGAGAGCACGCAACTTGGGAAGTCTGCTATTGGTCTTGGACCCTGTTTGGTTAGCATGTTTTTTTCCCCAAACCGTGTGGACACTCCTAGGGGTTCTTACGGTAGTGGCTTTTCGCACCGGTGTCTACACCTCACACACCCTCACACACACTGTTTGGGGTAGACCTCAGCACAAGGGGTGTTCTTTTGATCCATACCGACCGGCTTCGCCTTTCAGGGTCCATACGAAAAGAATTCGCTCGACCAGTCACGGATTCGTGACCAGTTCGTGACGCTTCGAGAATCCGTCGGCGGGTGAGGTTGAGGTTCAGGTGAAGCCCGGTTTTGCGAGAGACGCGACCCTCTGGAAAAACCAGGTGACAACACTTTTCCATCATTCAAGTCTCAGCTGAGGTTTTTTTCAGTTTGAGTGAGGTTGAACGCAACATCTGAAACCAATCTCTGTTTAACTGCCTCTTCAGTGTATCCACTTGCAGTACTTGGCGAACATAGATCATCTTGCCAACCAACCAGTCTTCTGACGTTACCAACCATCACCAAATGATTCACAGCACATCTCCCCGATCACTCCACTTTTTTCTGCCAATCGAGGTCTCAACGTGTCTTTGCGAGACGAGGGCCAGTACAGCTGGCCAGAGACGGAAGGCCTTGTGTCTTGGAGACGAGGCCTGCAGGGTCAAGGCATCACTGTCGACTTAGTGAACTTACTTAAAGCAACTTGCGCACCGCACCTGTGGAAAGCAACAAAATTCTAAACAAAACCTAAATTATGGATTCGATCCAACGATTCACAGAATGGCACAGAACTTCATGTTGCTCAGTCGCCGTTGGCGAGGCCCTTGATCTAACAACTCACAAACAAGTACCTAAAATGAATACTATTTCTTATGCACTAGCTTCTTCAAAGTGACCTTTCAAAGGTTCCTAAGTGACCCTGAGGAGGCTTAAGTGACCTCAAACCAGGTTATCAAAAGGTCACTTTGAAGAACCAGGCACATGAAAACACATTCATTATTCAACCCTCTATCACAATACCTCCAAAATGGCCCGTCAATGCACGCCTAGGCATCAAACATGCGCTGCTTGGTATCCTTGGACTCGCTGAGGAACTTCCTCGGCACCGGGAGTGACGGGGTTGAGGTTGTGCGAGAGATTCCGTGGTTAGGCTTATCGTAGGACAACAAATACTTGCTAACCTTCATCGCAGAAGCGCTTGTATGCCATATATGCCTACATTGGGGTGGTTTGAGGGGTCAATGTAGGCATATATGGCATACATGGAGTGTCTGGGGTTGACAAATGGAGAAACCAAACACGTTTAACGAATTCCTGGATCAAACACGATCAAACATCGGTTCTACTACTGTCAAAAACCGAGCTCACATCCCTTGGCAGCCGTAACTAGCAGGCGTTTCAACTGCCGGTATTTCATCTCGGATGTGGTGTACTGCAAAAAGCTCTGAAGGTGTACTGCCACTTCCAAACCATGTTGGCAATGCACCATGCAGGGCAGCCGGTGCCCGGTTAACCGATGGTGCCCGGTCTTTTCACGCAGAAAGCGACCTCCCAACGCCGGTGGATCCCAAAGGCGGCCCAAGGAACCCGAAGGGCCCGTCTTGGGGCGTGAGGAAGCCAGAGACCTTCGCCTAGGCCGGCGGTGAGGAGTCTGATTTGGCGTGTCTGAGAAGATTGGGAGACCCTTCAAAGGGGGGGAAGAGACCCAAATGGAATTAAGATACTAAACATGTTGCAATCGTTTGGGGGCTCTCCCTATTCCAATGCACGAACGCATTCAACTTCCAGAAACAAATATGAAGACAGTTGCTGCATGAAAAGGACAAACATGGTGCTCGCCTTCGTCGAGAGCTTCATGGGACTGGCATATACCTACACTGATGTGGTTGAAAAAGGATCAATATAGGCCAATAGGGCAGCCCCATGAGTCGTGTCTGGGACATGGTACTGGGCTTTCATTGTTGCAACTGGCTCACAGAGCTGAACCGCGGGTTTGCAAGCATGATCCCACTAGGCTAGGCATGTCCCGACCGGCGACCGGTTTGCTTCCGAATTGATAGGTTTTCTTGGAGCAAATGTCCAAAAAGGCCTTGATTGAGCAACTGTTTAGCAAACAAGTCTTTGGATGGTCTGACGTAGAAACTAAAACTCAGCAAAGACCAATCCCCCTTTGATGGGCGACCACTGAGGTTTTCACTGCCCTCATTATTGAACCTGCATTTGCCCCCTTCAGTTTCAGAAAGACACGTTTGTCGTCTTCTTCTTCTTGCTTGGCACCTTGGGTGTTGTCGAATAGGGCACCCATGCCACCAACGGAACGATACTAGCGCCACCCAGTTCGGGTCCAAAAAGACCGGCATCACCGGGCGTTGCGTTGCGTGCTTTCGTCCGCCGAAGTCGTGGCTTCGGTCGACGCCACCGGGCCGCTGCGGCGCCGTCCAGAGCCTCCACCTCACTGGAGCTCAGCTTCAGCTGGAGAGCACGAAGATTGTCCTGCGTCGGTGGCGTTTAGAGGTGGAACGTGACGGAACGAGGAACCGGACCGGAACGCTCTGTAGGAGCGGTGCGGTGCATTTTTTTGGGGATAGTCGAACAGTCGGCTTCTTTCTTCTCTCGGTTTTTGTGGCGTGCCTTCTGCTGGCTGGTTGTGGTGTTTGGTGATGGGTTTGTCCTGAACATCGGGAGGACATCCGTGCAGCTGTTTGGTCTTCTGCAGCGCTTTTCTAAAAAATGCAGCTCTGTGGGTTGCAGGTCAAAGGTCGGGCTTTCCTTTCTGATAGAGGCCAGCAAGAGTCCATTCTCTGTACAAGGAACATCAAAGAAGGAACAACATCAAATGGACAGGATCGGAAGACCGCAACAAAACCCGCCAGTTGCTCTTGATCTCTTCAGCCTTCCGAAAAGAACTTGCAAATCAATCAGTCAGGGACTAAGCCACGAGTGGTCAATGCTTGACTTTACTTCCAAAGATCATCTATCCGACCAAAAAATGGATGTGGGAAAAAACTAGGAAACTTGCAAAACTGAGTTTGCCACCCTAGGATTCGAACCACCATTGATTTAATTGGTCTTTCTGGACAACCAATGTTTTACTAGGTGTTTTAGGCTACAAAACCCCTGGTTTGAGGTCACTTAGGGACTCCAAAAGTGGTCTCTTTGACGAAGCTGGTCATTCGTTGGTGTAATGGTCTTGGAGGGTAAGGGCCATATTGTACCTCTACAAAACCGTCGTTCTCCCTGATTCTAAGACGGACATACAGCCTTCATATGCTTTGAAAGTCAATCCAGTCAATCTCTACCACAATGTTTGCCACTTCAAGAATACTTCCAAGACAAACAAAGTAGTCTTCCACCCCTTGCTGCAGCCAGCTCATTGGAGCACTTCCCACGAAACAAGACCAATGCTGCCGCATTCCAACCTTCGGTGCCGCGCCACACCGGTCTGGTCTCTCCTCGGCTTGCCGCACGTTCCGCACGCCCGGAATCGGCGTGGTGCCCTTGGCGATGCACCACGCGATGGCCACCTGTGGTCCGTTGCGGTTCTTCGTTCGTCGCGGCGTCACCGGCACCGGGGGCCCGTTGCGAGACGCCCGGAAGGGCGACCGGAGTGGCCAGGAAAAGAGAAGATCGAGCATTCTTTGGTCGAAACTTCACCAGTTCCATCCTTCGCGTGTCGGGCGGCAGCGAGCATTCGAAGACCGATTCCTGATCTGACACACCAGGCGACCTGATCCGACGTTCGATGGCTTTCACCCGCTGAGAACGGATGAAACAGAATTCCACGACTGCCGGCCGAAGATTCTCAAATACTTGAGCCACACACTCATGAAGATGGAGCAAGGTCTCAACACAAAGCAACCGCACCTTCCTGCAGTTTCCCGGGTCAACCTTCTTCCACCTGTTCTGCTTTTGTGGGGAAAGCAATCCCCCAAAAAGATTACAGTAAAAGTTATCAACTTTTCCTGGATAAGACTTGATCGAATCATCTGTCCATCTGTCCATCCAGCAACTGGTGAGCGGCACCACTCCCTGGACTTCTCAAACCAACCACTCCGCTCTTCCGCTCCCGGGAGGATGAGCGGCCGTCAGTAAAAGTGTCCGGTCTATTGCCAACAGTTTCTTCTACACTCTACACAAAACAGCACAGTACATCCATTGGAATCCATTTGGTTGGTGGTTTCAACTCACTTGAACCATTTCTCCCAAACACTCCGGGCCATATATGCCTACATTCGGGTGTTTTTTTGGGATCAATGTAGGCAGTCCCATATGGCATACATGGAGTGTCTGGGTCTGAAACCACCACTCACCACTGTTTGTGGCTCCCACTTCGTTCTGACACCCTACTCCGACAGCCACTCGCCTGGGAGAGAGTGGTCTCAGGTCCATGTTGCCCAGCGACATCCTTCCTTGCTGCGAGAGGAACCCCCGGAGGGCATGGAAGAGAGCGAGAGTCTCCCTGATGATGGTTCCGAACTGATCTGCCATGTTTGTTTACTTTGAAGCCCTAGATATAGTACTGGGTACTGAGTACTGGCTACTTGGATTCGCTGTCCAGGACCCAAAAAATCACACATCTTCCCAAAAAGGCTGAACGACCGTAGGCCCCTTGGCATTCAGCCAGGTGTACTATCATGAGGGTGCTGACACCATCCAGTCCGAAAGTTCTTACACTTAGGATAACTTACCCTAGGGCTCCAAGTACCTCCTCAGAAGGTATTTGGACATTTTGGACCCAAACACCTTCTTAGTCATTCCTCCACACCTGAGAAGCTGCAAAACGAAAGCCAGCGCTTCCCTTTCTCGACAACTGCGCGTCGAAGCAAGCAAATGAGCTCGCGCAGCTGCTTGCGGCCGCGTGTCAAATCTGCTTCATGTCTTGTTCTGCCCACACAGAGGTAACCATGTCAAAACAAAAACCTGCGCTTCCTGGCAATTGAGGGGTTCGGTGTCATTTTGCCCGGATTTTTCCTCTGCACAGGGGGGGTTTGGATGGAATCCGATGTTTTAGGCCGTAGCCAAATCTATCCACATTGACATCATTTGGTGTCTACCAGGACCTTCAAAGTGACCGTCCGAGATCCCAGAATGAGGTCACTTAGTCACCTAGTCCCGAATGAGGTCACTTGGAGACTCCAAAGAGGTCATTCTGAAGGTCCTGGTGTTTCATTCCACTTCCAGTAAGACTAAGATCCTTTGTTTCTGGTGGCTATGCGCAAGCGACTCATGCTCTTCAAGGAGTGCTGTAAGTGAAGTATCGGAGTGCTCTTCTGAAGCTAGCCTGGGTCCGTATAAATACTATGTTGCTATACCTCTTACACACCTACACAAGTTCAAAGCACGAATGAGACTTCAAAGCTGTGGATTGCTGTGCGTGTGTAGAGGCTATCGAGCGGTTGACGGAAAGGGAACTTGAAGTACTATACCTGGTAGCTGCACTATAGCTACCCTGGGTCTCTATACCTAGCAAGGTGCCAACTACACCTTTATTTTCAAGATGGCCTGAGCAGAGTGTTTTAGGGCAGCAAACCGTGGTCTCAGGCCACCTTGAATTTAG